TTAAGCATCACAACCTGAAAGACTAATTAGCAAACTATTACCTTGTGCTATCAACCAGAATTGATTAATTTCATACTGTAGGGTGTTATGATAATTAATATAGTTGACACTTTGGTGTAAAACACCGTTCCTTTCTTCCCTTAGAAAGAATCACGTTCATATAAAGGCATGTTCGTCAGTGTCATTCACAATGTCATCGGTTGATCTCCTAAATTTAGTGTATTTGGTCCTGCATTTTGGTCACTTCTGACTTGAAGTAAGTGTGTACTGTTTATACTGCACAGCAGAACCATTCTCCTGCATAGCCTAGAAATACCGTTAATGTACATAGTTCATGGAGCAAAAATACAAACAAAGTGCATACACATTCTAAAATTACCATTGCTCATCGCTGGAAATTAACAACAAATATTGATAAAAAAAAGTGTTTCATCCTTACAACTTAATATAAAAAGGAAAGTTTCACATACACTTTTGGAGCATTTTAATATGACCGTTATGTATTTGTGAAAGTATTTTTTGTCATTATGTTGTGTACTTGCAGGGCTAAAGAAGGTTTTTGGTATACAATATTCACTTCTCAAGAGTAGAGTAATTCATTTTCCCTCAACTTTTCATTATTTCAACAAACCCTCTTATATTTTATTTATCACACAGTTAAATGACATGTTTTCTACTTTGCATTAAAACCAAATTATCATATTCATTAAAAATATATCTATATCATAACAACTAAAAGACCAATATTTTATTTAAACTATTAAGTGCTACAAGCTAATGCATATTACTAATAAATCAATTTACTTTCAAAAATTAAAAAACTATATCAAATATTTACAATGTAAATAATCCAATGATTGACATCATGAGCATCAATCCACGCAGTTGGGATATGATGAAGGCAAGCATGGTTTGCTGAAGACCTATTCTACCTCGGATCTTCATGAGATACGATCTTCAACAGATACGATCACCACAATTCAAGTAATATTACATAGTTTAAATAGTTCAGTTCCAGGTGAGAACAGACAACTCAGACGGCGTGGGGTGTTATATCAAGAACTGTGTTTTTCTGGTTCAGAATTTTATTAACGTTCTGAGTGAAACAACAGCCAAGTTTCATATAGTTCTCTAAATGATTTCTGTTTCAGTATTTTGGGCCTCGGTTAAAGGATGCTGAAGAAAACATGAGGGAACCAAATGAAATCCAAATTAGAGGTATACATCCCCTGAGCGCCATACTTGTGAAAATGTATATTTTGTTCAAGATAGAGCTACCTTGTTGGTAGCTGCCTCACCTGAATCTGTTTAATCAGTATTTATTTACCTGCTTAAGACTTTTATGTTCCCACATATCTTCAATTACCAATGATTACTGCCTTTTCTTTTCAAATTACATTACCACTACTTCTGATTCATATTTTAACTTGGACCAATTGCACAAAAATATTTTATATTTTCTTACATATTGTAAGACACATAAATGTGAAGTCATACAAAATCATTTCATCCACAGATTTAGAATTGATAACATTCCAAAATATTTCTTCCTTTTAGATATATTAAACTCTCACTATTACAGTGTTCATGTGCAAATATCCTTTAACATAGAACCTAAAGGTGTCGCTCTACTAGGAGGCGCTCTCAAGCTAGACACCGATTAGAGTTACCTCCCCTCGAGCTCTCACTCCACCCTCCTCGTTTCGGTTCTTCTGGATTACATTTGTGATTGACATTTCCTTGTGAGGCAACTACATACAATAATACCATGTGTCTTTGTTTAGTTTTTCACCATTTTCTGTATTTGTGATATGTGATCTTCGGACGAAACTGCAAACGTAATAAACAGATGATGTAGAAATAGACATTGTCTATCAACCAACATCATTTGTTTGTTACATTTGCAGTTTCTTTATAGCTGTAACTTAGATTAATGTTTCCCAAGTTTGTCTACCAGAGATGCCCAGACATCATAGAGATGCCCAGACCAGAAACATCATATTATTTTGGGGGATTCTTCCCACCCAGGTCCACAACTCAACAACGCCTCCAGGCACGCCTTCTTAAGTGCGTCCACAACTAGTTATGACACTTTAAGGTTGGGAATGTGTTCTCTTTACAACTGTCTTGCCTTCAACGCGTATTGTGCCTACTATGACTTCTGCGCCTCTAATGGGTTTTCACACACCATGGAATATTCTGGAGGCCTCCCAAGGTGTCACCTACAACTGCCGTACAAGATGATAGTGAACAAGATGATGAGTTTATGTTGTGGAATTGTTAAGTCACCTTCGTGTGCGTGCCGGACATGCTTGCCTCAAGAAATTACTTTCTGAGGCTATGGCCTATGTAGCACTGTTTGTTATGATTTTAAGCAATTGCAGATGTTTTGAACCTCACTTCCCCGGATGTGTGGGTTAGATAAATCCATGGCTCATAATATTGCCACAGGGTATATCGGCTAACTCCTAAAACGTCATCACCAATTTAAGACAAAGACTCCCATAATTGGGAGCACACATTGGGAGGCATAGGGTGGACGAGAAGGTAATAGATATGGCGCTTAGTTCTCAAGGCAATGTCCCTTGCAAGTTCTCATGTTGCAGCAATCATTAGGGTACTGGAAGAGGGATCCAAAGGGGTAAAAAGTGAATCGGTACCAGCACTGGAAAATTGGTTTCTATTACATGATTGCCAGAATATATCAATGAGATCATAGTCGGGCTCTGCCCCCAGTAAACTCCCTGTTTATTTTATTGCTGTGATTCCTTTATCTATTAGCTATTTCAAATCCTAATAGGTAATAACTTTATTTTTACTGAAATTCATATTTATGACATCATGAGATGTTTTAAGACCATCTTTCAGACAGTATTTACCAGTTCTGTCGTCACTTCCCATCTATTCAAACGTCCGGTGTGACGTCACTTCTGGTTTTAGTGTCATAAATATCTATTTGATGACGCCATTTTTCTGATATATTTCGTTACTTCCAAATATTACAGTCTGTGATGTCATTTCGGTTTCTTATGACGTCACTTCCAATCTATTAAGCCTTCCGGTTGTGATGTAACGCCCGGTTCTGTCTTCACCTCCAGTCAAACTTATATCGAAGCCTGGATTGACACAAAAAGGTCCAAAAGTGGGATACGAAAATAGTAACTAAAATAGTAAAGTAGAATAGTATGGTAATCATGCTCCAGTCATTAGAACCTATGGCTGCTGTAGCCATGACAAGAAGAAATGCGAGATGTTTTAAGCAAGGTGGCGTTACTGAGAGGTTCATAAACTTGCTTAAGATTTCTATGTTCCCACATCTCTTCAATTACCAATGATTACTGCCTTTTCTTTTCAAATTACATTACCATTATTATGTACACTCCGGGTGTTTGTGAACGTTATGATAATGTGAAGACACCTGTTATATATTGGTGATACGAGTTGATTCTTTTGTTTGCTTTCAGGAGGGGATAATGTGAAGCAGCAGAATATCGCTGGTGTGGTTCATGGTGGAATGGGAAATACCATCTACAAACGTACGTATCTCACTACTTCTGATTCATATTTTAACTAGGACCAATTGCACAAAAATATTTTATATGTTCTTACATATTGTAAGACACATAATTGTGAAGTCATACAAAATCATTTCATCCACAGATTTAGAATTGATAACATACCAAAAATGTTCTTCCTTTTAGATATATTAAACTCTCACCATTACAGTGTTCATGTGCAAATATCCTTTAACACAGAACCAAAAGGTGTCGCTCTGCTAGGAGGCGCTCTCAAGCTAGACACCGAATAGAGTTACCTCCCCTCGAGCCCTCACTTTTCCTTCCATTGCATCGGCCTCGTTTCGGTTCTTCTGGATTACATTTGTGATTGACATTTCCTTGTGAGGCTACTACATACAATAATACCATGTGTCTTTGTTTAGTTTTTCACCATTTTCTGTATTTGTGATATGTGATTTTCGGACGAAACTGCAAACGTAATAAACAGATGATGTAGAATAGACATTGTCTATCAACCAACATCATCTGTTTGTTACATTTGCAGTTTCTTTATAGCTGTATCTTAGAATAATGTTTCCCAAGTATGTCTACCAGAGATGCCCAGACATCATAGAGATGCCCAGACCAGAAACATCATATTATTTTGGGGGTTCTTCCCACCCAGGTCTACAACTCAACAACGCCTCTAGGCACGCCTTCTTAAGTGCGTCCACAACTAGTTATGACACTTTAAGGTTGGGAATGTGTTCTCTTTACAACTGTCTTGCCTTCAACGTGTATTGTGGCTACTATGACTTCTGCGCCTCTGATGGCTTTTCACACACCGGTACCAGCACTGGATAATTGGTTTCTATTACATAATTGGCAGAATATACCAATGGGATCATAGTCGGGTTCTGTCCCCAGTAAACTCCATGACAAGAAGAAATGCGAGATGTTTTAAGCAAGGTGGCTTTACTGAGAGGTTCATATATTCCACAAGGAGAGCTGATAATACAAATCACGGGTTCCATTTGGGAAGGATCCAGAGTGATCGAACATTCTCCAAAGAGAAATGATCACATGACTGTTCGGAATCGAATAATTTCCAATAGCTAATCCATCATGTTGTGAGTGAGTGAGTGAGTTGGGTTTAACGCCGCTTTTAACATTCCAGTTATATAACAGCTTGCCAGCTTAATGGGAGGAAAGCCCGAAGTGATGCAGGTCTAAGACGTTTATCACTTCTGTGAAACCCACGAGCACGGGTATGGTGCTGACAAACCTAAAAACATAACTGGGGAGAACCGGGATTCGAACCCACAATCATAGATTTCTGGCAACTCTGCACAGAGAATCGCGGCGCCTTAGACGACTGGGCCACCCATGCCCCCTCCATCATATTGTAATACAGAATGTAGAGCAATTCTGTACCATTCAATAGTGCCACGGCGAAACTTGTTTTCTTGATGAAGATGTCACTTGTCGCTTCAATTGTCATAGATGAGGGAGGAGGATGGTCTCAAGGATCTTGCAGCAGCTGAAGATGCAGATACAGAAAAGCCGGAGTCCTGCATTTTCTGCAAGATAACTTCCAGGTGGTGAGATGAAGATTGGGTAAAATCGTTGTAGATTAGAAACCTGCCTCATTCATCAAAAGAGTTGGAGAGAGATCATGATCAAGTCTGATAGTGGACTGAAATAGATCGACAGTTGATTGTTCAGACAGGATGAGATCCGGGTGTGGGGTGTCCCATCGTGAAGTTATTTTTTATTGCAAATACCTCTTTATGAAGTGACCACTCCATTGCTACCGTCTACTAGGATGTTCATCTTCCCGGGAACTTGTCAAACTTTCATCCGGCAGATGATGGAGTCTCTCAAGGCAAACAATCGATCAAACAGTGGGAGATGTCCCACTTGAAGTTGAAATCTGTCATACACTGGGTTTATCTCTCATTTGGTTGGATGGATAAAGAAGATCATGTTCTGATGTAGTTGAGATCTGTCTTAATCCGCCGCTAGAAAATCTTCCTGGTAACAACCATGAATAAAGAATAGCTGTATGTGGGCAAAGCTGATGACGGGAGCCATTATTCTGGTGAATGGAAAGGTGCTATCGAAATCCCAAATGGAAGGACTTAAACTCGTAAAAGACTTCCATTACTGCTAAGCGTAGATATTTTCTCGATGACTGATGGATGTGTACGTAGAGATAGGCGTCTTGTATGTTTTTCCTGATTAGCCAATCTCCCGTTCTGAGGGTCGAACTTCACTTCTGTACAGATTCCATCTGGAACAAGTGAGGAGAAACAAGAAATGATTTTGGGGGAAGCTTCAGATCACTGATCATCTTAATGTCTGGGAGTTTTTAGACTGTTAGACTGGAAGACTGATTAAAAAACGAATGTAGAGATGGTTCTAGAGTCATAATCTGTGATCAAACCAACTGCCCGATTTTGATCTTCTTCTAATACTCACATATCAACGCATAAGCTTTCACAGCCAGGTTGACAGTGTAGACCTGGAATCGCTCTATTGTATCTTGACGCACTTCCTTTATTATCCTTCCTAGCTTGTCATTAAAGAGCTTGATGGGTTGTGACATAACTATCCTCTTCGCCTGATCTGAGACAGCTCTGGTGCGAATCTAGAAAAGTAGCTGTTGATGCTTGACCCCTATTAGCCAAAATGACATCCAAATATTGTTGATGACTAAGTCCTTAAGCATGGGGACTATGGTATCCAGAAGACTATGTATGAGTCTTACTTGGTCCTGATGGCCTGTGGCGTGTCCCCGGTGATTTCCTGTAAAACTCCTGAAGTGGTGGGATGACATGTCAAATTCCCGCCACAAACCGGTTTATATATGCTCCGATGTCCATTGAGTTTTTATTTGCCTTGCTAAGACCCTACCCATGCCATGGTCAAAGGTATCTTAGTATTAGGTGTACAGACCGTCTGATATTATCTCTTCTTCAATGTCGGTAAGGGAAGATGATGGTCATGTCTCAAATTTTGTAGGTCACCAGAGGCGCTGTTGATGACCTAACTTTGCCATTGGAGGATAGGATGCACTTTGTGTGACTGAGTCCGGGTGTGACAAACTGCATATTCAGGCATCTGTTGTAATTCCCCTTCTTCCAACTTCTTCCAGATTGGAGAACAGGCATAAGGTGATAAGGCTTTTCCAGTAGTTCGGATAAGATATGACCAGGCTCATAATCTCGTTGAGGAGAATAGTCTGACTGTAAATAACATTCCTACATGAAATCCGATTCAGAATCCGTAGGGGCGTGGGATCCACGTGGTCCCCATGCGGATCATCGTCCAAGTTTCCGGAGTCTGTGATAGATTGTTGTTACCAAATGGATCTGAACTGGTAGGCTGGTCTTCTTTAAACCCACTAGGGTTGCTGGTGATGAGAGCTGGTGACTTTGGCGGAAACCGTTTGCTTCCATGAAGCTCGTGCAGAGTTGGAGTCTGAAAACTGACAGCTAGTAGAGTCCATGCAGGGTCCATGCGGAGGCTGAAAAGGTCCCATAACGGTAGATGACTTGTGCTTAGGGCGCGCAGTGGTCGGGAAGACCCCTTATCAGTAGATGATTTGATGTTCATAAGGTCCGAGTTCATAAAGACATGGCATGGAAAAAAGTTGTTCAGGCATACTTAGGGAGAAGCTAGAGCTGTTTCAAGCGTTTTAGGCGTCTTTGGGGTCGCAGGTTTAGGAGACGGCTCAGGGGAGGAGCGGCAGTGGAAATGGTTAAAGACATAATCACATTCACATTCTTCTTTGCCACATCATTATGCTTGGCCTTCTCAAGGGACTCTGAGAGCTTGTTGAAGACTGCTTTGGAGAGGGAGATACCTTCCTTTTACCAAGAGTTTTCAGTACCTGCAGCCTCCCAATATCTTCTAGCTGGAAGCATGAGTATCCCCTGTAAATATGAAATGACCCCACTTCTTACATGTTGAGTGGAGGTTGATGATGCCATGATGGGCTCTCCTACACAACTTCCTATCGATACTTACCTGACTTCGAACCACCAAACTTACAGAAGATGACTTTTTAAATAGCAGCATTATAACGTAATTACTAACTATATCTGAAACTGAAAACGAGAACTAGCTAGACGATAAACTTCCTTTGCACATGGAAGAGCTGTAAATTGATTGGTGTTACTACGCAACAACTAGTTATGCATAGTTGACAGTGAAGATGACTTCAGCTGAACATCTAAAAATAAAGTAAAATTGTGATTGCAGCCAAAATACAGGATTATGGCAATGATGTAATGGAGGCAGGGTAATGAAACCTCCCAAGAGTCCATATATATATATATATATATATATATATATATATATATATATACTGTAAACATTATTTTAATCCAGTCAAGAATACAATCGGTTGGTTGGTTTGGGCTGGTTGGTTATGTGTATGTTGTTAAAGGTCGCACCCAGCAATATTCGAGTTATATGGCGGCGGTCCGGGCCAGTTAATCAATCCATTAACATCATGAGCATCGATTTGGATAAGATGACATGCAATCAACCATGTACTTAGTCTTGGATTTGAAAACATATTGTTTACGTTTTTCACTGCATGTGACTTCTTCTGGATTACACTAAGCTATGAGTACATGTAATTATGCGTTGATAAAGAGTATCATTTTTAAGTGATCTTGTTGTCATGGCAGTAATTGAAAAATCTTGTGCTAAAGCACTCGGTTCAAAATTGATATAAGATGTACTTCAGCTACAGTTAAGACTATCATAAAACACAGTAGGCTTGTCTCCTATTATCATTCCAGGATATTTATTTTTAAAACAACTAGCTAGCAGGATGAAACATCAAATTTCGTTTACGTTTTCATAAAGAAAACCACTATTTTGTGTTATGTGCTTCTAGATGACAATTGATGAGTATCCATATGAATATGGGTTCAGTTACTATTGGTTGTACATGAGTGAGTGAGTTAACATTTAAAGCCTCGTCGGCAATATTTCAGCCATATCGTGACTATTGTACATGAACATATCACCAACAAATCACATTTTTAACATGTGATACAAAACAGAGACCGACTTTATCCTCTTGAAAATGGTTATGTCAACTGATCCTATAAAATGTTACATCAAATGATTGTCTAAAATGTTTAGCATTTATTAGAATAAAATTGAACAACCTGTTTGTTTCAGAGAGCTGCAGTAATTCCGAACTGGACAATGTAGTCAGTAAGTACGGAAATGTTTCATCTATGAAAGCAAACACAAGTTAGTTCAGTTGATTGGAAGACCTACATGTATATCTTAAGGAATGAATTAGCTACCCCTACTTAATGGACGCTTTGGCGGACCATACTGTCTGATACAGAAAGAGACTGCTTCCAAATTTTACTTAAAAGAATACCCACACTTGACAAGGATGTGATACTTGGAAAGTTACCAGACTGCCATAAGATCAGAATGGATATCAAATCTAGTGATCCATTGGATTCACTACATCCAGTCACCAGCACTGTTGTCTCTGTGCAGGAGAAACCATGTCTCCGAGGGATTACGAGAGATTGTAAACCCTCACACGAGGGAACGTCCCGGGGGGGCCGTAGGCCCCGAGGAACGTTCCCGAATGTGACGGTTTACAATCTCTCGTAATCTCGAGGAGACATGGTTTGTCCAACTTATCAACTGACTCATCGCATGCATGGACAACGTTTTTAATTTAATAACTGTAATAAAAACTCTCAAATGTATCACCTGTATCGGAGATATCGCCTGCAGTCGTGAACTCGGTTCAATAAAACCGGTGACCTCAGCACGTGGGTTTCGCAACGGTGTGAAATCTGCACGTGCGTCTCGCAATGGCACGAAATCTGCACTTGCGTCTCGTAGGCTGTTCGTAGTTTTTGTTCTAACGAGGGTTTACAATGATTGAAAGCCCTCCTGCGAAGTGTTACAATCGTTGTAATACCTCCTACGAGGTGTTACCACAATTTCAAAAACTCCATATCGAGTTACACAAACGGCATGTAGGTGAACATACACCCTTCTTATCTCATTAAAACTGTTTCTATAAATTATGTACTTTTGTGAAATGTTCTTAGCTTGGGATTCCTCTTTTTCAAGCTCACCTGACTGAATATCAAGTGAATTTATTTCATGCTCTGTTTGTCTGGAATTGGTCCAATGAACGTGTTCGTCACATGCTCGTTTCCCACCAATAATAAACCTGCATATGTTCATGAGGATGAAATGGCTCAAAGTAGGACATCATTTCAAAGATAAATTTAACATTTCACACCTTTATATGTTCAAATTGGTGTGATCTTGCTTTTACTTTATTTACTGAAAATAATGAAATATTTTTTTACAATAAAGCATAATATCATTTTTTCAAGAACCACAATTTACAGAAAGCTGAAACTGTGTTTAAATGGGGATTGACTCAAGTAGACTACAGATTGTTTAAGTATTAGGATGACTGGATGATGTTAAAATAATAAGTATTGTCCTTTTATTGCTGCAAATATTCTGAAACTCAGCGTAGACATTTGCCACCATAATATTGCCGGAGTGTAAGAAGAGAAACAAACTTGAGAATTTGCTATTTTGAAGAAAAAAAGAAAGTTTCGAATATTTTAAACAACACCTTTACTGAAAACATACAAACAAGAAAATGGAAACAATATAAATCATGAGACAATAAGAAGTCACTTGAAGGTGAAAAGTCAAGTTTACCACATAATTGATAAATACTTTCAATGGATCCCTGTATTGGAGCATTTTGCCATCAAAGTGAAATTGTTGTTTGGGCCAACCCAACTAAAATATGCAAAGATGAAAAAACAGCTTTATACAGGTATAAAAAGATATGTGTAAAATCTAAGGGAGTTGACGTATTTTGTTGCTGGCTTTGCATACAACGTTCCACTTTTCTCAGAAAAGGTATAGTACAAACAAACTGATACTTTATATCTATGCTTCTCATCATTATGTGGTCAAGTTTTATCAAATAGGGTACTTTATCGTTTCTCAAATTATTGATGTTATACAGAGTTATGCTTGAAAGCGGGGCACGGGTGGCCAAGTCGTCTAAGGCGTCAGGATTCGCTGTGCAGAGTTGCGTCCCTTGGGCACGTCAGAAATCTATGATTGTGGGTTTGAATCCCGGTTCGCCCTGATTATGTTTCTAGGTCTGTCAGCACCATACCCGTGCTCTTGGGTTTCACTGAAGTGGAAAACGTCTGAAACCTGCATCACATCGGGCTTTCCTCCCACATTAAGCTGACACGCCATGATATAACTGGAATACTGTTAAAAGCGGCGTTAAACCAAGCTCACTCACTAACTATTCTTGAAAGTATTAGAAATGTCAATATCAGACAAGAACTACTTGAATACTGACACTGACATATAACTGCAGGTGATGCAAGGAAACTTATCAAGAAGCCCGATTCAAACAAGCATGTATCTACACGCGCTGAGAGGTCTGCATACAATGTACTAAAGCAGTATGGATCTGTCTTCTTAAAAGGAAAGTCAGGCTCAGGGAAATCTACACTTGGTCGAAAGATTTTAGCAAACGTATCAAAAGAAAAAGACCGCTTGCCAATCGTGCTTTCATCATGCAATGAATGGAATCTGATTCCTAAGGTAAATCACGAGAACCACCAGGGGGGTGAAAGTACTGAACAGAAAAAGTATGTGGTGTTAATCGATGATATATTTGGATCAAGTAATCTGGTTGAATCAGATGTGAATAATTGGGTCAAGTTGTTTGACCGACTTTGGCTAAATGTGGAATCAGGTCATGTATGGCTTGTCATTACCTCAAGATCTGAAATATGTTCACAGTGTGATGCCAAGATCAGTAAGTACAAACTCATAAAAACTATTCAGTGCATAGTTCTAGATGAAGGAGAATATGTTTTCACACCAAAAGAAAAACTTAAAATGATAGAAAAGATATGTGGAGAAAAATTCTTTTCTCATCAAGAACGTCATGACATTGTTAGAATGCCCACTGTCCTCGGTTTTCCCCAGTGTTGTACATTCTTTGCATCAAGCAAGGAAGCACAATCAAAAGGCATGGAATTCTTCAAAAGGCCACAGGAGTTCGTTTCTGAGGAAATAGCGAGAATGCAGGAATGTGATGGAATTGGTCACCTTGTCCTCCTTCTCACATTGATGAAAGATGGTACCCTCAGCTCAGATCATCTGAAACTCTCTACCTATAAACAAGAACTTGAGTCCACGGTTGAGTATCTTAAAGAATGTTGCAACATTTCCACAGTTGTCACAGTGACAAACATTAAATCAAAGATAGAGGATTTCTGTAAAGTGTATTTAGTGAAAACGGGAAAAGTATACCAGTTCCAGCATCAATCTATACATGACGTTGTATTTATCAATATTTCAAAACGGGAACCTGAAATTGCTATACACAATTGCCCACCAAAGATGCTGGTGGAATTGATGCATACACAGCATATGAACAAGGATGACTTGGCTGTTATCCTACCCAGAGACAATTTCCCTATATTAGCTGACAAGATCACAGATCTTCTTTTGTCAGAAAGTTACAGTGTCATACTTGATCATCCTTCTTTACGTCATGAGGAATTTGTGGAGTTTCTGGTAGAACGTTGGCGGGAAAATAAAAAGTTAACTAAAGTTATACAGAAAAAGCACGAGGTGAAATGTGTTAAGATGGACGTTCCCTCTTCTGAAGGAGATGATTTGCATTCAAGTTTTGGTTTTTATCATAATTCACTTACCCTTTTCACCTATACTTCCCTTATCTCTGATGTAATTTTACAGAAGTTGACGTTTCTCCTGAAGAAAATACTGTCTGACGTGTTCCATCAAGTTGATACAATTGAATTGCTGGGACCTGCTCTGTATATCCAGGATAACCAGCTAGTGCGAAAGCTGCCAGACAAGTGTACAACACATCCGTCTGATTGCTTCCTGGCACTGTGTGTTTCTCCGGCTATTGATCAAGATATCAAGACACATCTGACACAGAATACTACGGAGATACCTCAGCCGTACGATGTACTCCTAGTCACTGTGTTAGTTGGAAATAAGTACTTAGTGAAACATATACTACAATATCTTAGAAATGACAAGGATATTGTATCAAGGTGTCAGGAAATATTAAAGCTGTCATTGCTTCATAAGAGGTGTAACTGTTCAAGCAATTTTTCTAATACTTGTCAAGACTCTACCATCATGTGTGACATCTTACACATGTTGATATATTTGATACCTGCCAACTGCCCTCTTCAAAATATCACAGATGGAAAAGGTAATACACTTCTACATCTGGCAGTTCAGGCAGGAAATCTTCACTACACTAACATGTTTTTAAATGAACAAAAAGGTCAACATCTGCCATTAGATCCACAGTGCGTACACAGGTTGAATAGAAGTGGAAGTACTCCGCTCCATCTAGCCGCAGAGAATGAAAGAAGTGAAACAGTGGAACTACTTTTAGACAAGGGAGCTTGTGTATCCACACAAAACAAAAATGGTGATACTCCTCTACACATATCAGCATTGCGTGGAAATAGTGAGACAGTAAAACTACTTCTGGACAGGGGGGCAGATGTATCTACACAAAACAAAGATGAGGCTACTCCTCTTTATCTAGCAGCATCGCGGGGACAAGTTGAGACGGTAAAACTACTTCTAGACAAGGGGGCTGAAGTATCAACACACAATAATGATGGTGATACTCCCCTACACCTAGCAGCACAGTGGGGACATGGTGAGACAGTGACACTACTTCTTGACAAGGGGGCTGAAGTATCAACACACAACAAAGATGGTGATACTCCTCTACATGTAGCAGCACAGCAGGGACATGATGAGACAGTAAACCAACTTCTAGACAAGGTGGCTGAAGTATCAACACACAATAATGATGGTGATACTTCCCTACACCTAGCAGCACAGTGGGGACATGATGAGACAGTGCAACTACTTCTTGACAAGAAAGCTGATGCATCTACACAAAACAAAGATGGTGATACTCCTCTACACCTAGCCGCAGTTTGGGGAAATAGTGAGACAGTAAAACAACTTGTCGACAGGGGGTCAGATGTATATAAACAAAACAAAGATGGTGATACTCCTCTTCACCTAGCAGCACATTGGGGTCATAGTGAGACAGTAAAACTACTTCCAAACACGGGGGCTGGTGTACCTACACAAAACAAAGATGGTGATACTCCTCTACACCTCGCAGCATCGCGGGGACATGGTGAAACCGTAAAAATACTTAAAAAAACGGGGGCTGGTGTACCTACACAAAACGACGATGGTGATACGCCTCTACATCTAGCAGCATCGCGAGGACATAGTGAGACAGTGGAACTGCTTCTAGACAAGGAGGCTGATGTATCTTCACAAAACGAAAATGGTGATACTCCTCTACATCTAGCAGCATCGCGTGGACATGGTGAGACAGTGGAACTACTTCTAGATAAGGAGGCTGAATTATCTACACAAAACAATAATGGTGATACTCCTCTACATCTAGCAGCACATTGGGATCATAGTCAGACAGTGGAACTACTTCTGGACAAGGAGGCTGATGTATCTTCACAAAACAAAACTGGTGATTCTCCTCTACATCTAGCAGCATCGCGGGGACATGGTGAGACTGTAAAATTACTTCTAGACAAGGGGGCAGATGTACCTACAAAAAACAAAGATGGCGATACTCCCCTACACGTCGCAGCACATTGGGGACATAGCGAGACAGTGGAACTAATTCTAGCTAAAGAGACTGAAGTATCTTCACAAAACAAAGATGTTGATACTCCTCTGCACCTAGCATCGCGGGGACATAGTGAGACAGTGAAACTACTTCTATCTGCACAAAACAAAGATGGTGATACTCCTCTGCACCCAGCAGCATCGCGGAGACATAGTGAACCAGTGAAACTAGTTCTATCTGCACAAAACAAAGATGGGTATACTCCTCTAAACCTAGCAGCATCGCGGGGACATAGTGAGACAGTAAAACTGCTTCTAGACAATGAGGCAGATGTATCTGCACGAAACAAAGATGGCAATACTTCTCTACACCTAGCATCATCGCGGGGACATAGTGAGACAGTAAAACTACTTCTATCTGCACAAAACAAAGGTGATGATACTCCTCTACACCTAGCAGCATCGCGGAGACATAGCGAGACAGTGAAACTACTTTTATCTGCACAAAACAAAGATGGTGATACTCCTCTACACCTAGCAGCATCGCGGGGACATAGTGAGACAGTGAAACTACTTCTATCTGCACAAAACAAAGATGGTGATACTCCTCTACACCTAGCAGCATCGCGGGGACATAGTGAGACAGTGAAACTACTTCTATCTGCACAAAACAAGGATGTTGATACTCCTCTACACCTAGCAGCATCGCGGGGACATAGTGAGACAGTAAAACTTCTTCTAGACAAGGAGGCAAATGTATATGCACGAAACAAAGATGGCAATACTTCTCTACACCTAGCAGCATCGCGGGGACATAGTGAGACAGTGAAACTACTTCTATCTGCACAAAACAAAGATGGTGATACTCCGATACACCTAGCAGCATCGTGGAGACATCGTGAGACAGTGAAACTAGTTCTATCTTCACAAAACAAAGATGGGTATACTCCTCTAAACCTAGCAGCATCGCGGGGACATAGTGAGACAGTAAAACTGCTTCTAGACAATGAGGCAGATGTATCTGCACGAAACAAAGATGGCAATACTTCTCTACACCTAGCATCATCGCGGGGACATAGTGAGACAGTGAAACTACTTCTATCTGCACAAAACAGAGATGGTGATACTCCTCTACAACCAGCAGAATCGTGGGGACATCGTGAGACAGTGAAACTACTTCTATCTGCACAAAACAGAGATGGTGATACTCCTCTACAACCAGCAGCATCGCGGGGACATAGTGAGACAGTGAAACTGCTTCTAGACAAGGAGGCAAATGTATATGCACGGAACAAAGATGGCAATACTCCTCTACACCTAGCAGCATCGCGGGGACATCATGAGACAGTAAAACTACTTCTAGGCAAGAAGGCAGGTGTATCTTCACAAAACAAAGATGGTGATACTCCTCTGCACCCAGCAGCATCGCGGAGACATAGTGAAACAGTGAAACTACTTCTATCTGCTCAAAACAAAGATGGTGATACTCCTCTACACCAATCAGCATCATGGGGACATAGTGAGACCGTAAAACTCCTTCTAGACAAGGAGGCAGATGTATTTGCACGAAACAAAGATGGCAATACTTCTCTACACCTGGCAGCATCGCGGGGACATAGTCAGACAGTGGAACAAATTCTAGACAAGAAGGCTGATGTATTGTCACCAAACAAAGATGACAATACTTCTCTACACCTAGCAGCATCGCGGGGACATAGTGAGACCGTAAAACTACTTCTAGACAAGGAGGAAGATGTATCCGCACCAAACAAAGATGGCAATACATCTCTACACCTAGCAGCATCACGGGGACATAGTGAGACCGTTAAACTACTTCTAGACAAGAAGGCTGGTGTATCTTCACAAAACAAAGATGGTGATACTCCTCTACACCTAGCAGCATCATGGGGACATAGTGAGACTGTAAAACTCCTTCTAGACAAGGAGGCAGATGTATTTGCACGAAACAAAGATGGCAATACTTCTCTACACCTAGCAACATCGCGGGGACATAGTCAGACAGTGGAACAAATTCTAGACAAGAAGGCTGATGTATTGACACCAAACAAAGATGACAATACATCTCTACACCTAGCAGCATCGCGGGGACATAGTGAGACCGTAAAACTACTTCTAGACAAGGAGGAACATGTATCTGCACCAAACAAAGATGGCAATACTTCTCTACACCTAGCAGCATCGCGGGGACATAGTGAGACCGTTAAACTACTTCTGGAAAAGATGGCTGGTGTATCTGCACCAAACAAAGATGGTGATACCCCTCTACACCTAGCAGCATCGCGGGGACATCATGAGACAGTAAAACTACTTCTGGACAAGAAGGCTGGTGTATCTGCACGAAACAAAGATGGTGATACCCCTCTACACCTAGCAGCATCGCGGGGACATCATGAGACAGTAAAACTACTTCTGGACAAGAAGGCTGGTGTATCTGCACGAAACAAAGATGGTGATACCCCTCTACACCTAGCAGCATCGCGGGGACATAGTGACACAGCAATACTACTTCTATCTACGAAACACAAATGTGGTAATACTCTTCTGCGCCTAGCAGCATCGTGGGGACATAGTCAGACAGTAAAACTACTTCTTACTACAAAAAATAAAGGTGGTAATACTCCTCTACACCTAGCAGCGTTCTGGGGACAAAATGAGACATTGAAACTACTTCTAGACAAGGAAGCTGTTGTATCTGCACACAGCAATGATGGTGATACCCCATTACATCTAGCAGCATCGCAGGGAAAAAGTGAGACAGTAAAGCTACTTCTATCATCACAGAACAAAGATGGCAATACTCTTCTACACCTAGGAGCATCGCGGGGACAAATTGAGACAGTGAAAGGACTCCTGGATGAGGGGGCTTGCATATCCACACAAAACAAAGATGGTAAAACTCCTCTAAACCTAGCAACATCGCAGGGACGTAGCGAGATAGCAAAACTGCTTCTAGACGAGGAGGCTAATGTATCTTCACAAAACAAAGATGGCGATACTCTTCTACACCTAGCAGCATCACGGGACATCGTGAGACAGTAAAACTACTTCTAGACAAGGGTTTGGGGGGTGGCAGATATATCCATGTAAAACAAAAATGATGACACTTCTCTACCCCTAGCAGCATGGTGAGACAGCAAACGACTCCTAGACTCCGAGCTGAAGGATGAAATCCCTGTCAATATCCTGTCTCCAAGCTGTGTAAAACAATTCCTCCTGTCAGTAAGTGGGTGGGTACAATTGATGATACATTGACTGCATGAATGCAAGGAGAAAGTTACTTACTAAGAAGCCGCCAGAAGCTTCGTATTACCCGCCCTACAAGGGAGATAACTGATCTGTCTCCTCTACCTCAGACAATAGCTCAAATCATGCCTGCGGCTCATATTCCATGACTTATCGACCATGTGCATATAAGTTCCGGCAGAATCTTTGCTACTAACTTTTGTTTCATTTTGAGGTGCAGGTTTGGTATACTTTCACACTGACATTTGTTCCGGTCACACAAGATTTTCATACACATATGTTCTACCTTGTGGAACTGTCAAGTGTCTAAAAGCGCGATTTTTCTTGGGCTATACTAAAAACTGGGCCCTGGTTCTTTTGGGGAGGGGGCGGGGAGGGATAGAGAAGGGATGCATGAATTTAAAGCATGGAACAAATACTTGCAATATATTTGTTCCGATCAGAACAAATGCTCTGTGTGTGAAAGTTCTTATTTGACATTTCCGTTTACATTTTTGGAAAAAACAAACAAATTCTGGACACAAATGTTGTTGTTTTTATTAAAGCTCTGTTACCATGGTAGAACATTGTCATTTTCTGTTGTCTTTGGGGGACTTCATCCCGCCAGCCGTAGTATTCACCGGCGACTGCCGTTTTGTTTGATTTACTTGACATAAACACAGTCTTTCCATGGAATTATCGTGCAGCAGTACATGTACTTCCGATTTCGGTTGCGTTTTGGTCTCTGCATTCTTTCCGTTTCACTCAAAATGACATGTTTTCACATTTGCCTTTATAATTGATAAACTATTGGGATTTGTTTCATGCTTTCCCTTTTCATCAGATGTTTTTGTAATCGTTGATTATTTGATATATTTGTATATTTGTATTGCGATTGTATGTCTTAATTTCCCCTTTTTTCGTGTTGCACATTAACAATATACAGGAACATCGCTCATTAACAAACCCAAACATTTGTTTCTCTCAACCCGAACTTTTCACGACCGGGTCGGAAAGTTTTCACTGCAATTTTATGTAATCCTGACATTTTTTGCGGGTCGGAACTAAATTAAAGCACAACAAAGGCATGCTTACACAATGACCAGCACAATGAGAGAATTACGAAATGTATTTGTTGCTTGAAAGACAAGTACTTTTGAAAGGATATATCTAGATATGTCTGTATGAGATCTTCATGACATCGGAGATTATGACAGCATTCTCAAATCCATCTCACGTATGTTATGAATGTATATATATGAATATGTATGTATGCCACATGATAAAATCTTCAGGATGTCGCTATGGATCCATGACCTAGTGACACACATTGTTATGTCACATGATGTAAATACACACTTGCCCACAAGTTTGCATAGTTGCAGGTTCTATTTAGGTGCATGCCTGCTTCCCTGTGTAATAGTCTCAAACATTTGTATATATTATATTTTGTCAGAGATTCATTCCATAAATGTTGGTCCAATATTTACGTGTAGCTATAGAATATGCATTTTTTGTGTTAGTGGTGCCTAATTTGGATTTATGACCGGAGTAAAATGTGACTATGGATGGGTTTATCTTCTTTAGTTACTGATGTCACAAACTGGACTTTGTGTGACAGACAGGTGTGTTTTGGTTACTGATGTTACACACTGCGCTTTGTGTGACAGACAGGTGTGTGTTGGTTTCTGATGTCGTCACACTAGGCTTAGTGTGACAGACATCTGTGTGTTGGTTACTGATGTCACCACACTGGGCTTTGTGTGACCGGCAGGTGTGTTGGTTTCTGATGTCGTCACACTTGGCTTTGTGTGACAGGCAGGTGTGTGTATGTTACTGATGTCACACACTGGGCTTTGTGTGACAGGCAGATGTGTGTATGTTACTGATGTCACACACTGGGCCTTGTGTGACAGGCAGGTGTGTGTATGTTACTGATGGCACACACTGGGCCTTGTGTGACAGACAGGCGTGTGTATGTTACTGATGTCACACACTAGGCCTTGTGTGAAAGGCAGATGTGTGTATGTTACTGATGTCACACACTGGGACTTGTGTGACAGACAGATGTGTTTATGCTACTGATGTCAAACACTGGGCCTTGTGTGACAGGCAGGTGTGTGTATGTTACTGATGTCACACACTGGGCTTTGTGTGACAGGCAGATGTGTGTATGTTACTGATGTCACACACTGGGCCTTGTGTGACAGGCAGGTGTGTGTATATTACTGATGTCACACACTGGGCCTTGTGTGACAGACAGGCGTGTGTATGTTACTGATGTCACACACTAGGCCTTGTGTGAAAGGCAGATGTGTGTATGTTACTGATGTCACACACTTGGCTTTGTGTGACAGACAGGTGTGTGTTGTTTACTGTTGTTACAAACTGGGCTTTGCGTGCGTGACAGACAGATGTGTTTATGCTACTGATGTCAAACACTAGGCCTTGTGTGAAAGGTAGGTGTGTGTATGTTACTGATGTCACACACTGGGCTTTGTGTGACAGGCAGCTGTGTGTATGTTACTGATGTCACACACTGGGCTTTGTGTGACAGGCAGATGTGTGTATGTGACTGATGTCACACACTGGGCCTTGTGTGACAGGCAGGTGTGTGTATGTTACTGATGGCACACACTGGGCCTTGTGTGACAGACAGGCGTGTGTATGTTACTGATGTCACACACTGGGACTTGTGTGACAGACAGATGTGTTTATGCTACTGATGTCAAACACTGGGCCTTGTGTGACGGGCAGGTGTTTGTATGTAACTGATGTCACACACTGGGCTTTGTGTGACAGGCAGATGTGTATATGTTACTGATGTCACACACTGGGCCTTGTGTGACAGGCAGGTGTGTGTATGTTACTGATGGCACACACTGGGCCTTGTGTGACAGACAGGCGTGTGTATGTTACTGATGTCACACACTTGGCCTTGTGTGAAAGGCAGATGTGTGTATGTTACTGATGTCACACACTTGGCTTTGTGTGACAGACAGGTGTGTGTTGTTTACTGTTGTTACAAACTGGGCTTTGCGTGCGTGACAGACAGATGTGTTTATGCTACTGATGTCAAACACTGGGCCTTGTGTGAAAGGCAGGTGTGTGTATGTTACTGATGTCACACACTGGGCTTTGTGTGACAGGCAGCTGTGTGTATGTTACTGATGTCACACACTGGGCCTTGTGTGACAGGCAGGTGTGTGTATGTTACTGATGGCACACACTGGGCCTTGTGTGCCAGACAGGCGTGTGTATGTTACTGATGTCACACACTAGGCCTTGTGTGAAAGGCAGATGTGTGTATGTTACTGGTGTCACACACTGCGCTTTGTGTGACAGACAGATGTGTGTAAGTTACTGATGTCACACACTGGGCCTTGTGTGACAGGCAGGTGTGTGTATGTTACTGATGTCACACACTGGGTCTTGTGTGAATGGCAGATGTGTGTATGTTACTGATGGCACACACTGGGCTTTGTGTGACAGACTGATGTGTGTATGTTACTAATGATACACACTGGGCCTTGTGTGACAGGCAGGTGTGTATATGTTACTGATGTCGCACACTGGGCCTTGTGTGACAGGCAGGTTTGTGGATGTTACTGATATAACACTCTGGGCCTTGTGACAGACAGGTGTGTGTGTGTGTTACTGATGTCACACACTGGGCTTTATGTGACAGGCAGATGTGTGTCTGTTACTGATGTCACACACCTGGTTTTGTCTGACAGGCAGGTGTGTGTTGGTTGCTGACGTCACACTCTGGGCTTTATGTGATGGACAGTTGTGTGTTAGTTATTGATGTCACACTGGGATTTTCACTGTAAATACTGTAGTCGAACAAGCAAAACAAAGCACATATTTCACTGAAACAATGTTTGAAGTATAAGGAACTGATTGTTTAAACATTTGTTAATGTATCATGAAGTTTATGAAGGTAGAATGTACCTTGTTGTATGCAGCAAAACTTAAATGTATTTTCATGTGTGTGTTTTTTTCCTGTTTTACTATAACATATGACCAACGACTGGAAACAAATTAAATAACACTGAAAATAAATGTAATAATGTGTATATATTCCTAGAATTGGCGTGTCAGGGAATTTCACACATGATTCTGATCAGATTTATTGATATGGCTTTCATGGAAGCAGTCGAAAATGCCTTTTTTACTATATCTGAATGTTATCAGATTGGGTGTAATTCGTTATGTGACATTTGTAACATACTTGGCAAAATACTTTATTAGTATTAGTATTAGTATTTTAAGATATAAGTTTATCCCTCTATCAAGACAAGTATCAACTCACAACTGGAGTTCATACATGAATATATGGGTAGATGACCATTGTGTAGAAACTTATGTCTTTTGTTTTTGGTTGATTGTACTTAAATTCAAAATTTTGTAAATATATACAGTATTAGAAATAACCCAGACTCATTCAGGTTGTCTAGAGAGCGGCAATTGTTTTCTTAGGCTCCATCACGTGATACATCCTGTACATCCAACAGGTTAGTTGTCCACAGTGTCAAATATCTTCCCCATCCCCAGATCTGTGTGACAAAACAAGCAGGCCTAAGTATCTATTTAACCACCCCATAAGGGGAAATGATATAATTACACCAGTGCTTATGACTTTCTTATTAAGGTAGCTAGAGACATGGATGTTTCATCTTTTTAGTTGCACTGGATTGTTTGTTCCCCAAAATAGAAATGATATAATTACACCAGTGCTTATGACTTTCTTATTAAGGTAGCTAGAGGCATTTCCATTTAAATTTTCTAGTTGCACTGGATTGTTGTATTTCCCCAAATTGAAGTAATGTAATTAAACCAGATATTCAAACTTCCTTATTAAGGTAGCTAGAGGCATGAATGTATCAGTTTTCTAGTTTCACTGTAGTGTTGTTTTCCCCAAGGAAAATGATGTAATTAAACAAGACCTTATACCTTTATTATCAAAGTAGCTAGAGGCATGTATGTTTCAATTTTTTAGTTGCACTGTATTCTTGTTTTCCTAAAAGGGAAATGACGTGATTAAACCAGGTCTTATAACTTCCTTTTTAAGGTAGCTAGAGGCATGTATGTGTCAGTTTTCTAGTTTCACTGTATTCTTGATTTCCTAATAGGGAAATGACGTGATTTAACCAGATGCTATAACTTCCTTATTAAGGTAGTTAGAGGCATGTGTGATTCAATTTTTTAGTTGCACTGTATGGTTGTATTTCCCCAAAGGGAAGTGATGTAATTATACCAGATGTTAGAACTTGCTTATTAAGGTAGCTAGAGGTATGTGTGATTCAAGTTTTTAGTTGCACTGGATTGTTGTATTTCCCCAAAGTGAAGTGATGTAATTATACCAGACCTTACACCTTTCTCATTAAAGTAGCTGGAGGCATGTGTGATTAAATGTTTTAGTTGCACTGGGTTCTTGATTTCCTAAAAGGGAAATGACGTGATTTAACCAGATCTTATAACTTCCTTATTAAGGTAGCTAGAGGAATGAATGTATCAGTTTTCTAGTTTCACTGTAGTGTTGTTTTCCCCAAGGGAAATGTTGTAATTCAACAAGATCTTATAACTTTATTATCAAAGTAGCTAGAGGCATGTATGTTTCAATTTTCTAGTTGCACTGTATTCTTCTTTTCCTAAAAGTGAAATGACGTGATTAAACCAGGTCTTATAACTTGCTTATTAAGGTAGCTAGGGGCATGTATGTTTCAATTTTCTAGTTGCACTGTATTCTTGATTTCATAAAAGGGAAATGACGTGATTTAACCAGATCTTATAACTTCCTTATTAAGGTAGTTAGAGGCATGTATGTGTCAATTTCCTAGTTTCACTGTATTCTTGATTTCCTACAAGGGAAATGACGTGATTAAACCAGATCTTATAACTTCCTTATTAAGGTAGCTAGAGGCATGTTTGTGTCAGTTTTCTAGTTTCACTGTATTCTTGATTTCCTAAAAGGAAAATGACGTGATTAAACCAGATCTTATAACTTCCTTATTAAGGTAGCTAGAGGCATGTATGTTTCAATTTTTTAGTTGCACTGTATGGTTGTATTTCCCCAAATTGAAGTAATCTAATTAAACCAGATCTTCAAACGTCCTTATTAAGGTAGCTAGAGGCATGAATGTATCAGTTTTCTAGTGTCACTGTAGTGTTGTTTTCCCCAAGGGAAATGACTTGATTAAACCAGATCTTATAACTTTCTTATTAAGGTAGCTAGAGGCATGTATGCTTCAATTTTTTAGTTGCACTGTATGGTTGTATTTCCCCAAAGGGAAGTGATGTAATTATACCAGATGTTATAACTTTCTTATTAAAGTAGCTAGAGACATGTATGTTTCAATTCTTTAGTTGCACTGGATTGTTTTATTTCCCCAAAGGGAAGTGATGTAATTATACCAGATGTTATAACTTTCTTATTAAAGTAGCTAGAGACATGTATGTTTCAATTTTCTAGTTGCACTGTATTCTTGATTTCCCCAAAGGGAAATGACGTGATTTAACCAGATCTTATAACTTCCTTATTAAGGTAGCTAGAGGCATGTATGTGTCAGTTTTCTAGTTTCACTGTATTCTTGATTTCCCCAAAGGGAAATGACGTGATTAAACCAGATCTTATAACTTCCTTATTATGGTAGCTAGAGGCATGTATGTTTCAATTTTTTAGTTGCATTGGATGGTTGTATTTCCCCAAAGTGAAGTGATGTAATTATACCAGATCTTACAACTTCCTTATTAAGGTAGCTAGAGGCATGTATGATTCAATTTTCTAGTTGCACTGGATTCTTGTATTCCCCAAAGGGAAATGATGTAATCAAACGACTACTTATGACTTTCTTATTAAGGTAGCTGAAGACATTGAGTTGTCATTTTCCTAGTTGCACTTTATTGTTCTTGTCTTAACCAACTAGAAATGATGTAATTAAAACGGACGTCCTTACACCTTTGTTATTAAGGACGCTGTTGCCAAGTTATACTGCTGTAAGTATGTATTTTGTGCTAAATCCAGAAGAGATGTCATTAAACCAGACAAATGTTCTTAGGACAGCTGGAGGCTCAGGAGTAAGTTTAGACATGAATTAGACATACTAGAGAAAACATTTCTACAGCTTTGTATCAATGGGGACCTTCTGTTACCCCATTGGCACTTATCCACTGTATTATATCTCCATTCTATAATGATAAATACCCTGCAGGCATTTGCTGATAAAAGGTCGTCCTGAGGCCAATTTGAATGGCACAAATTTGAAATTAGACATCCGACCAAATACCTCTCACGTGACATTTAGTAAGAGATGCAGGAAGACGCAGGTATATACAGAATAGAGATATAATTACTGGATAATCGAGTTTGCTGTCACCCCATTTCTGGACATTCAGGAAATGGTGGGAAATGGACTGCTTCTGTTGTTACATGTAAAGCAGAACCCTTCCTACTTACTTTCAGTCTATGATAACTAGCCCTCCCATAATCAGCTGTCTCTGTAGCCTCTACGTAATGTTCACTGACTTCAGCATCACAAATATCACAACTAAGAGTTTGTTATTGTGTAGTCTTTTATTGTTTCTCTTGATAAATAAAATATTTCATAAAAATACAAACACGTGTTGACATTGTATATTAATCAATTCAAAACATCATTTATATATTACAAACATCAGTATGAATATGAACAACTGATCATTTCTACAAGACAGTTGGACAGGTAAGAATTAATTGAAAAGAAATGTTGCCATCCACGGGACAACAGGCAGACAGCTACGTCAGACACAGTGTTGGAAGGTAAAGGTACTTGGTATATAATCGCACGTGTTAACTCTTGCAGTACTATGTAACACTGACGGATACATTTCCCTACAATATCCCCATACCAATGAGGCTGTGTAATAACGAACACACCATTCCTTCCCTCAACATGACACATTGGCAGTATACTCAGCTTCACACGGACAGTTGGATAGATGACAATGGCAGCAAGGGTAAACGAGTGAGGGAGTCAGGTTCAACACTGCTTTGAACAATATCTTAGTTATATCAGAGATTACTGTTGAAGAATCATTCAAATGACACAGGACATTACAGTGAATACGGATATGGTGCGGACAGGTCAATGGCCACAAAGGGGTCCAATTAGACAACCTGTGTACATGTCACTACACTTGAAATAGAACATCAATATGATAATTGTTGCCATTACTTGCATGCTAAAGGAAGAGTTCATGATGGACCGTGGACCTGGTCCACGCAGAGATTAGACACCATATGTCATCATTTCATAGAGATACAATATTTAATGACAATATTACATTAATCCAGTGACTAGAATAACTTGCCTTATGATTAATGTCTTGCATCCATATTGAGTTTATTACGATAGTAAGTTTTACACCACTTTTAGCATTATAACAAAATATCACAGCAGTGGAAATGGGCTTACATAGAGTTATTTTTTGAGCACACATGTAATAAGTATTATTTAATAAAATTAAGTGATTGATGTTTCTGGAGGACTGACTCTGTCAATAAACACCACAATTCCACAAGTTGGGATTTCAATTTTTGACGCCACAAAGGTCTAGGTTTTTGAATGTTAACAACCTCAGCTGCTGATTAGAATGCCTTACTTTAGTCTCAAGTCGAGAAATACAGATGCCAAGCACATGGCTAGCTAGGGGTAATTAGAGTTATCTGCCCATTTGCTACTACTGGTCTTACAACTACAAGTATTTGTTAAAGATGTCTGCTGACTACCCTATATTTTACAGGTTAATTGAGAAGTCGTGGGTTACAGAAACTACCTATATGGCTGTACATGTGGATGGCATAGAGAAATGTTTCAAGCAGAATGCCGGAAGACTGATTATGTGATTGGAAACCTATGGTCTGATAAAAAAAACTCATTGGAAAACAGCGAGTGACAATGTTCATATTAGTATTGCAAAAAGATTCAGCTCTTGGCTTAATGTCTCGGCATTTCTTTTAACTTTAACACATATAAATTTATCAGCTGGTGAAGCATACAACACACATATATGATTAACAACAGCAGGTGCACAGTAAAGACACAATGTGGAGGTGATTAAATAAATTACTCTCCTGTTTTGGTTTTCAATTTACAACATGGACATACTTTCTTTGTGTATTTCCAGGGATTGCATTACTTGTTGTATAGATAAACAATCATAAGTGAACAATTAAAAATAATTTTCTTATTTTTCCTACAAAGTCCTTTCGTAACTACCATTTTCACCTACAAGTTGATTGATATTGTAAGGGAGGTAACTCCTCACATCGTCATTTAAAGAACCACTTAAAACTGCATGTTGCTTCAATTCATTTCTTATATGTTATGCTACCTGTAACCTTTCGCGATTTAGGCTGGGACATTTCACAATGTTAAGCTCGCATGAGCAATCGTTACATCAGCTCGTAATATACTCGAACTTCACTCCTTATGTGCTCGTGATCACAATTGTGGTTGGATCATGTGACATCGTGCCTTGCTCGTGTTATATATGTGTTGTCCACGGTTGTGTTCGAAGGAAGATTGTGTATGTCATACCACACTCGTGGCAACCTCGTGCTGTAATTGACCTGACGTAAACACGACTTTTTCATGATAGACACCATGGGAGTACAACGTCTTCACGATAGACACAAAGTGAGTTCGATTCATGAGAGCACAACACATTATAATTTTCATGGGGAAGAGCAAACCGTGTCCTTGTCACGAGTATGATATGGGAAACGTGCATACTTCAAGTTAGCTACGGTGTACCTAGAGTTCACTACGATAATCAAGTGTTGAATACGAGCTTATCTAAGTCCGCTACGATATAGTCACGGTGGGATGAGTGTGTGGGTTGCATCACCCACCCCAGTCTGGAGATTACTCACAACCACACAGAACTAGGACCAGGTCCAGGTCCAGGTCCAGGACCAGACACAGTCCCTCAGGACTCAGGGAGAAGGGTAAGGACTCTCTACGCAGGTCGACCATAGGGAAGTTCTAGAACCCTGTCGTGGTCTCTCGTGTCAGCTCCTGCAGCAAGGTGTTCTTTCAGCGGACTTGACTTGACAAGATGGCAGCCGCAACATGCGGTCTTATTCTGGTTGCGGTTTAGTCGTGTTGACATCGTGATAAACTCATAGAGATCGTGTTTACATCGTGATAAACTCTTAGAGATCGTGTTAATGTCGTGATAAGGTTGTAAGTATCGCGTACTCAACTCTTATGAAACTAGTCTATATCGTGCCAACATCGGTATAATTCAGAAATCACCATACAGTAATAAAAACACTTAAAACTCAACAATGCAGTATAAGTATAAAAGCAGCTGTAGTCCAGTCTTTTTCTTTAAGTAAAATAAATTATTAATGTGCCTTGCTATTGGAAATATTACAGTTTTCAGGAATGTTAAGTGGTCACCGGAAAGGGATGACATCATCTGTTTCCATGACAACAAAACTGCTTCGCCGAGAGAATTATGAAACATCAACTAACACAAAGCTATTGACATATATATTAATGATGTATGAACAATTAACGGGATAATTAAACTAAATCATTCTGTCCAGACAGACACAATGAATAACGATATCTCCCTTCATCACCTTCTCAGCCATTTAAAAAATTTTAAACTACGTATCTGACATATATACAAATGCCAATTGACCACAGTGTCATTACAACAGCAGAAACACACCATTTGCATGAGACTGTGTATACACATTTAATATACCAGATAACGGCGCCAATGGAAAAGGTCAATGTGACCCAGTTGTCCCTCTCACCTTCCCGATCAAGCTGTTATTATTGCACTCCAGCCCTGTGTATAAAACTCAATATTGCCTTCTCATAGACCTGTCATGTGATCATATAGAATTATAAAAGATGATTCCATTACAAAGTTTCATCTCTATCAAAAACAGATGTGATTGTATTCCTTATAGGGAAACATGAGCTAGCTCGAGTTTTGAGGACAGGACACTGAGTACCGGAACACCAAGACACCAAGATACCAGAGCATCTGGACACCTAGAAACCAGGGCATCTGGACACCTAGATACCAGGGCATCTGGACACCTAGATACCAGGGCATCTTGATTCTAGATACCAGGGCATCTGGACACCTAGATACCAGCACATCTTGAAACTTAGATACCAGACATTCAGACAGATGTGCACACAAACACCTGGACGCCTAGATACCAGCACATCTTGACACTTAGATACCAGACATTCAGACAGATGTGCACACAAACACCTGGACGCCTAGATACCAGGGCATCTGGACACCTACCTACCAGCACATCTTGACACTTAGATACCAGACATTCAGACAGATGTGCACACAGACACCTGGACGCCTAGATACCAGCACATCGTGACACTTAGATACCAGATATTCAGACAGATGTGCACACAAACACCTGCACACCTAGATACTCTTAATCTCACACATCTTCACCTCCTGCCAAATCCAAATAACCATTTATGAATCTGGAGGTACATAGAATCTGTCTAATCATGGTGTCTTGTTAATCACAGCCTTGACCTTGCACTTGACGTGGTAAGTTATTTAGTTCAGATGATCTTCAGCAGTGAACACAGTTGACACAACACCAATCTCACGGTGTCGTGGTCAGTGAGTCAGGGTCTATAAAAGCACATTTATGACGTATATTTCCTGCTAGAATTTACTTGTAGGCTCGTTACACATACACCTTGGTCAGTTACTGTCAGGGTCCAATATAACGGAGTCCAGACTGGTGGTGCTGGGTAATGAAGGTAACGTCTTCTGTTGCCGCCGTACGTTCCAGTGGAGACAGTCAGCGAGGCCATCAAACCAATCGTCTATTTGGTCTTTGGCACACACCGAGGGAACTAGGTACATCGCCGTGGTGATGCGCAGCCTGGAAGTGAGGGGCAGTAAGTTATAGTATAAATGGTTATACAGTTTACACACTGAGGGAATCGGGTACATCGCCGTGGTGATACGTAGCCTGGAAGTGAGGTACAGTTAGTCGATAATACTCATAAATGTTCTTTCAACTAAACATTCCACATTGTTACAGGTCAGACTTTAAAACTAAGTGCAACCTGCGATAGACAACATCTAAATATCTACTCACGTGTCTCCTTGCTGTATTTCCTGTCTGTTCCGGCCATCAAAGGACACCCAGGCATTGTTCCGCGCATCCGGAGACACCATGATCTGAACAAGCAAACACATACGCTACACAGGCATGTGGAGGTTCACACGGACAAGAAGATAAAGATATTTCTAAAGACAAGTTAGATCTGACATTTACTGTATTTCACTTTCACATTTGCAACTTGTTTTGTTTCTTTACCATATTCCAGCTCTATGACAGGGGTCTGTTATAATCAAGGCAGGACCAGACTATCCAGTGATTGATATTATGCCATTAGTGTTTGATGAAAAGCTAAAAAACCAATCACGAAACCTGACCACATGATCCATTCAGTCGCTTATAACGACAAGTTGCAGTGGACCATTTTGTAACTGAAATCCAGCCAGAAGAATACTCCCTTCGGAGTTGAGAATGTAACTGAATGATCACTGAAAGCCTTGTGCGATGTCAGTGCACTATTGAAACATTCTTGAAGACATTTTGTCATAAGAAACGTCTAGCCTTAAGAGATAATTTCCTCCGATTCTCATCACTGTATAGCTTTCTTGGCTGGAGGAATCCCCCTTCATCTGAAGGTGTTGATGTGATGTGTTTCTTCATATGACAGCAGCGACGCATATGATCCAAGAACTTGTGCCCATCTCCACAGACATAAGACTCAAGTCGAAAGGGTGCACGGGAATCGCGCACGTTGAGACGCCCAACGCTAACACCGTATTCGTGGGTGCGTGATTCCCGTGGTTCAACTGTGTCATATGGCCCTGTGACGCAGGGGTAGCATTGTGCAGATGGCTGTTTCAATGAATGCTCGTTCCACCCGTGACGAACAGGTCTGGTTGTTGATGAAATATAGTGATAGCTAAATAGACATATTTTTTATTCAGGCACCGATTGTCTTTAAATGTAATATCCAGTTATGTATGACTGTTTAATCTCATACCAACTTTGACTGGAGTAGGTCCTATATTTTTTTCAGATATTGTAGTAAACGTCAGTACCTTAAATTACCTTCCAGACAATATGAGACCATCACTAGACTTACCAGATCATCACTATGTTTCACAAGACCATCACTAGACTTCACAAGACCATCACCAGACTTCACAAGACCATCACTAGACTTCACAAGACCATCACTAGACTTCACAAGACCATCACTAGACTTACCAGACCATACCAGACTTCACAAGACCATCACTAGACTTACCAGACCATCACCAGATTTCACAAGAACATCACCAGACTTACAAGACCATCACTAGACTTCACAAGACCATCACTAGACTTAACCAGACCATCACCAGAATTACCAGACCATCACTAGACTTCACAAGACCATCACTAGACTTCACAAGACCATCACTAGACTTTACTAGCCCTTCCCAAAGCCCTCACAAGACCATCAGTAGACGTCACTGGACCTTCACAAAACCCTCACAAGACCATCAGTAGACTTCACCAGACTTTCACAAAACCCTCACCAGACAATCACCAGACCATCACTAGACTTCACAAGACAATCACTAGACTTCACAAGACCATCATCAGACTTACCAGACCATCACTAGACTTCACAAGACCATCACAAGACTTCACAAGACCATCACCAGACTTACAAGACCATCACTAGACTTCACAAGACCATCACTAGACTTCACAAGACCATCACTAGACTTCACAAGGCCATCACTACACTTAACCAGACCATCACCAGAATTACCAGACCATCACTAGACTTCACCAGACTTTCACAAAACCCTCACCAGACCATCACCAGGCCATCACTAGACTTCACATGATCATCCCTAGACCTTCACAAAGCTCTCACAAGACCATCACTAGACTCACCAAACCATCAGAAGACTTCAACTGGCCATAACTAGACTTCATCAGACCATCACTACACTTCACCAGACCATCACCAGACCTCCACAATACCTCCAGATGACCATCGATCTTCTAATAGTCATATAACTGTACTCACTTTGATTTCCACGCCGGCTGGGACGACAACGGGCCTGAATGAGAGTGAGTGCGGGCAGATGGATGTGATGAGGATGCATGGGACGTTGGGATGGATCATGGATGCCCCTGCCGCCACCGCATACGCAGTGCTGCCCGTCGGCGTGGAGATGATCAAGCCTGAAACAGGATGTGCAGAGTTTGGTTTTGGACACACTCAAACAGTCAAGCCATGGGTTCTGAAAGAGTCCAACTGTCAACAATGGTCAAGGTGGTCTTAATGAACATAATTCTCATTCACCATCCCCCTGTACTGACGTGACAAGTCGACTCTCTATATACAGGACTATATTGCACAAGTATGGGGAAGGCCCTCGGTCTATCACTACTTCATTCAGCACCTGAAACAGAAACATCACAATCATCACTCACAGTGCGTTTGTTTTTGTTTGTTTGTTGTTGAAAACCGCACTCAGCAATATTGCAGTCAAATGATGGCGGCCTGTAAATTATCATTTATCATCCAGACTGGCTTTCACAGGAAATATGGCTTGTGTAAGATCAAGCGATATCTACATTGTAGATATCGCTGCAATGAAATTGCATCACAATGCTTTCCAGACCATTGTGACATCATTGCTTCCAATGACGTCACAATCAAATGACATCATTAATGGCTCTGCTACTGAAGCTATGAGCAGTACTTTTAACACTGCATATTACTGTCTTCAAACTGAAAAAGTAGGAAGAATGATGTTGGATGAAAAATAAAATCTCCCACGAGTGTCTTTTGATATCAAATATATCAACAACCGTTGATATATTTGATATCAAAAGACACTCGAGGAGATTCTCTATGTCTAGGCCAGCCGAAGCAGTGATCGATATTGTGAGTAACAAGTCTTTGAAGTACCATGACGATAATTAATTTGGTCACCTCTTTCGACCAGCCTATGGGGACATTTTCTTACCCAGAATCACTATGGGGTCTGCATCATTAACGGCCAATCAGAACCAACTGGCTCTAAACTCATACGGAACAAACTCAGTCATCAGTCATCAATCAGATGGCAATAGGTACATGTACTTACTAATATATGGGCGGTCCCACATTTCGTGTCTATATTTTTTACATGAGGTATTCTGGAGCACTCGGAACCCTGATTACATACAACACATTTGAGGCGGTATCGCAACAGCAAAGAAGCATCCCCTGAAACAACAAAAACATCACATCCTGAATGACACAGAATGGTTTTATGATGGCAGCCATAATTTGATGTCTTGAACAAACCGGCCCATCTTACCCTCCAAGTTTCAGGCTTCTACGTTTTGGAAAAGAATATTTTTATTAAATCAAAGACGGCGACATGGCTGCTATATTGAAATTGAGATTCCTGAATGACTGAGAATGGAAATCAAATATTGCTCCCAGCATAAAAACAATCATATGTACTGCGTCAACAATCAGCCTCCTTTAGCCATTTTCTATTCTTCGTTGACGTGATTAACAATTATGAAGGGAAGTTCCAACAAATATTAAACTAATTTTCTTTTCAATAGTAAATATCAGAACCTAATTCATATGAATTTGCTAAATAAATACAATAATCAATTAAAAAAAAACTCTTTGCGTTTTGATTTTAATTTTTACAAGAACTAGATGTAAGGTGAAAATGCAGCATGGCTTTATCACTGGTACCAACTGTGTGCATCTTCACACGTAAGTAGTTTCTATCTTGCCTTTTAATATGAGAATGCTTAAAAACAATATGTACTGTCAGATTTCAGCAATTTGCGTTGATGTTTCCATATCACTCAGAAACAAGGTTTCCATATCTTAATTACCTTGTAAAACACTGGTGACTTGTTTGCCTATCTTGGGGGCACGGGTGGCCAAGTCGTCCATGGCGCCGCGATTCGCTGTGCAGAGTTGCGTCCCTTGGGTACGCCAGAAACCTATGATTGTGGGTTCGAATTCCGGTTCGCCCCGATTATGTTTCTAGGTTTGTCAGCACCATACCCGTGCTCGTGGGTTTCACCAAAACCTACCCACACAGATCAATACATACACTATGCCTCCAACCATCCACCTCAAGTCAAGAAAGGAATGGTTTCAACCCTAGCAAGACAGGCTCACAACATCTGTCATTTGCTTGATAACGGTGTCAGAACCTACACCGAAACGTCGCTCGTCGTAATAAAGAAGTTGTTCATCCATAACTTCTTATCCTTACTTAGTACTCCAACTTCTAAATGCCTTTCAAAGGAAATATTCCAGTAATATCACGGGGGACACCAGAAATGTCTGCGCATTATACCAATGTGATGAATCCAACTGGGGCGCTTGGTATGATGAGCGTACGAGACATAATCAGGAAGCCAAATTATCTACAGTCACTACTGTGGTCCACTTTCAATGAAGTCTCCATGTACTTTACAGACAACACATGTAATTATTCCTCATCATTGTCTTCATGATGTGGAAGAAAAATTACAAAGTCTTCCCTTTGATGTACGCAATTTTCGGGAAGAAAAAATAAACTGGCAATTAAATATGACATTTGAAAAACAAAGCCACAATCCTCTGTAGCTCACCAAATGAAGTAACAATAGTGTCTATGCTTAAAGTTAAGTTGGAATTCTGTGAACAAGTTTTAGAAACCATAGCTTGAGAATCATATCTGCAGGTGAGCTAAAAGGGAGGAGGGACAGAGAGTCTAACATCTCTTGGATTCACCCTTCAGATGGGCCTATGATTTGACTACATGGACTGAAGAGTTATCTCCCTTGTTCTGCTGTTGCACTGACTACATACTGGCTCGTTTCTTTCCCCCACAACAAACAGATGCTGACACTGAACAGCTGCTCTCTATAGTACAGCTCAATCTATTCTACCTTCCTCAATGCTCTCAATGCTCCGAACCCACTCTTTTGAGTGACCAATCCTCATTACAGTCAATGTTTGAAAAAAAATTAAAACCCAACAAGATTGTCAGGCAGATGACCCACACATTCAGACATCAGAAATATTGAACAATCGCCAAACAAATAAGGCACAAATCGCGTGTGATGATCTTGATTCAGTTAAAATAATGCAAATAATTACTTAAGAATCTACAAGGAGTAATAACATAACGGAATACGCAAGTAGTCTCAAGCAACCCAACAGGAAAGTTACCAGCCACGGGCTGTTATTTCGGACACTGTGCACCGGGCAAAAATTAATCCAGCGGGCAGGGCTAAGAAGTGCAAAAATATAATTAAAATTCCAGTGTCCCGTTCAACAAAGTGATCGCAGCACTTATACAACCTGGAGCCTATACCAAAAGTATGCGACTTCTGATTATGGTAGCACTAACATAACTTTGTGCCGGGAGACCCATGCACATGTAACTGGGATCCTTGCATCATCATTGATTTACCCGAAATAAAGATGAAGCAATGAGCAGTGTCCCATCACCACCGAGGCACTCGATGAAGTCACCTTCAACCAACATCACTTGTCTTACATGGCATGTATACATTACTAATTCTTCAGAAGCAGGGAACTACAGCACTGACAGCAGTATCAAGAGTTAAATGTTAAACTGTCACTGCCGTTTGAAGCATTTGAAGTTCCCTAAAATGAAATCCCTGTAAATAGAGAGGGGAGTGTGTGCCTTATATTCAACATCAATTTGAACACTTCTCCAGTTGCATGAGGGCGTTGCAGCACAATGTGTGAAAAAGCACTATTGAATGCCAATGAAGTGTCTCTATTGACCAGGGGTCACAGTAGTTGTGACAACAGGCATGCTAGAACCCTATCCGAGGTATCTGCTTGGCTGCAAGCACGCAAAACTAATCATCAGAGTGTTCAACAGAAGTCCTCTTCACTGTCAACTACACAAAACTGGTGGTCAAGACAAAAGAACATCACATCAGCGTCCAGCTCTGTAGCTTAACAAGGCGGGAAACCCTCATGTATTTAAGTGCATGTCAGCTTTTCAACTGAGTTTAATCTCTAACACTTGGGGTTATGTAGTCAATAATTAAAATTCAGATCGCTATATAAGTACAATAATCCCCATTTCACCTCACCTCCCCCTTCTCTGGACATTTTATGTTTGCTGCGTTAATTTATACATCTGTTGTTTCCCTTGACACGCTTCAAACAGCACTGCCAACTATTAAAGTAAGGTTCATCTTCGTGCATTATTTAAGTTATATATGGTGCAGACAAAGTACTGATACTGATCAGGGCTTTACTCGGAATCGATTCAAACCATCCGTGATTCCAGCTACGATCTAGTAAGCAGTTCCAGAGAGGAAAAATCCCAAACCCTCAACACTTTCGTGAAATTTATTTTAGCATAATGGTGCTCGCAAACAATTGATCAGGGCACTACTGGAATAAGATTACAGGCGGCCTGTGGCCTGTGGGGCATTTTGAGAAAGTTATACGTTGGAGGATTTTGACCATAGTACAAATGCTTTAAGTAGTAGAATGTTTGTTGCTGATGATAAACATGTACCCCTGTGGAAACAACGCCATGCTAGTGCTACATGTACAGCTGTATGTATGTATGCCCGACTGCATTGGTCGGTTGTAGCGTAAGACCACGAATGACTACTTAACCTATGTGCAATGCATATACATGGATCGGCTATAATATGAGACCACGACTGACTACTTAACCTATGTGCGATGCATATACATGGGTCGGCTATAACATGAGACCACGACTGTCACTTAACCTATGTGCAATGCATATACATGGGTCGGCTATAACATGAGACCACGACTGACTACTTAACCTATGTGCGATGCACATACATGGGTCGGCTATAACATGAGACCACGACTGACTACTTAACCTATGTGCGATGCATATACATTGGTCGGCTATAACATGAGACCACGACTGTCACTTAACCTATGTTCAATGCATATACATGGGACGGCTATAACATGGGACCACGACTGTCACTAAATTTATGTTCAATGTATACACATGTTTCGGCTATAACGTGAGTGAGTGAGTGAGTATGGGTTTACGCCGCTTTTATCAATATTCCAGCAATTTCACGACGGAGGACACCAGAAATGGGCTTCACAAATTGTACCCATGTAGAGAATCGAACCCCGATCTTCGGCGAGACGAGCGAACGCTTTGACCACCAGGCAACCCGACCGCCCCTATAACATGAGACCACGACTGACTACCTAACCTATCATCAATACACAGGGGACCTTATGAACTGGAAACAATGTCTCAACAATATTACCTTAAAATATGTTTAATATATCTAACAACACTAGTTTAGTTGATATTTCTGACCATCATTATGCCGCATGATTGCATGCACTAAGTGACTGTTCATTTAAAATTCATGAAAAATATCGTTTTGATAATGAAAACATTCTGGAACAATCAACTGTAAAAATAAATTTGGGAAAATGTATGTTTTGTTTCATGTGTCATTAATTTTCCATAGAAGATGATGATGACAGGATGATAAGTTGCGTCCCTTAGGCGTGCAAGGATCCTATGACCATGGACTCGAAGTCCAGATTAGTCCTGATAATCATATTTGTTTTGTCAGCGCCAATCCCGTACCTGTGGGTTCAACACAGTGGTAAACGTTTGAGACGTGCATCACTTCGGGCTTTCCTCACACGTCAAGCTGACACATCATTTAACAGATGAAATCAGCGTCAGACCCAACCCATTTTCTCACTGTAAATTATGCACCAATGGGGCTGTTTAAGACAAACGGTTTTTAATAAGGGAGGTAACTCGTACGTTCATACCACCTATTCTTTATCACTGTACCCGGCGCTACACGCCGTCACTTATCTGGCCTCTCTCTCTCTCTCTCTCACACACACACACTGCGCATATCGATCTAGGTCAGCATGCCCCAGCTGTCACTACCTTGTCGCTTCACTATACGCAAGACATTTAACACGCAACGCAATACACCAGTGGTTGCTTGATTACTTCTCACATGTTTTGCAGAACGTTTCTACTTTAGCGCAATATTAAGGTTTCGGTGTATTGATGTCTGTGTTTCCCTATTGACGAGAAGTGGCGATGTGGGTAACAATTTCACTTGTAACACCGAAGACAGGGTTCGAGTCACCACATGTTCAAATGCATGAAGCCTGTGTCCCTAGCATGATATACCTGGAAATTACCAAATCTGGGCAAATCTTCACTCCCGAACCCATTCACTCACTCGCACACCCACCCACCTACGCACTCACTCACTTGCCCTCCTACACGTGAAGAATCCGGTGTAGAATAGGTCTTCAGCAACCCATGCTTGCCGTAAAAGGCGACTATTCTTGTCGTAAAAGGCGACTAACGGGATCGGGTGGTCAGGCTCGCTGACTTGGTTGATACATGTCATAGATCCCAATTGCGTGGGTCGATGCTCATGATGTCAATCACAGGATTTTCTGGTCCAGACTCGATTATTTTACAGACCGCCGTCATATAGATGGAATATTCCTGAGTGCGGCGTTAAACAACAAACTAACAAACAAACAAACACTCGCCCTGCCACTCACTCGTAATAATTAATTGTCCCAAAATTGACGGGTGCAATGGAAATCTGTATTGACACATATTAAATATACCCTCGTAAGCCGACATGAGTAAGATCATGACAGCACTTCCTGGTTACATGAAAAGTGCCAATCAAAGTCGTGATGATATCTTTAGTATTCATATGGAAACATTATGCAATAGCTCTCGTAGATATCATCAATATTTTACATGGTAAATTGTGTATGCAACCGTATTGCAATGTATGGTACTTTCTATATATAATACTGTTTCTTGAATGCTCATGCCTCGTTATCTCGAATGTCCGGATATCTCGAAGTAACACAACGTTCCCACTAGGCTCGAGATGAGTGGGGGTTTAATGATTAGCAAAGCAATTCTCCTTTAAACAAACATTTCCCAGTTTCGTAAACAGTGTTATCTGGACGGCAAGGCCACTGTTATTGTCATGTTGGGCGATTTGTCACGTGATAAAATAGCATGCGAATGGCCCTAGGTACTGTTACATCTGGCATTTGTGATGCTATATTTAGTATGTATTTGGAAACATCAATAGCGTTTGTATATAGGAGTGATGTCCCAAATGGCATGTGATGATATCATTGATATGTAGATTGTCACATTTTGCAATAGCTCTTGAAGAAGAAAGTGAATACTACAACTGTCATGTGTGATGATATCATTGATATTTTAGATGGTTACATTATGCCATAGCTCTTGTAGATGGAAGTAATGTTACAACTGACATTTGTGGGGATATTATTAATATTTTAGATGGTTAAATTATGCAAAAGTTCTTGTAGATAAACGTGATGTTAAAACTAACATGTGTAATGATATCATTTATATTTGAGATGGTTACATTATGCAATATGGAAGTGGTGTTACAAATATCATATGTGATGATATCATTAATATTTAGATGGTAACATTATGCAATAACTCTTCTAGATTGAAGTGATGTTACAACTGACACTTGTGATGATGTTATTAATATTTTATATGGTACATGTAACAGTATGCAATGTCTCTTGTAGATGGAATTGATGTTATAACTAACATCTGTGATGATATCATTGTTATGTTACATGGTTAGATCATGCAATATCTCTGATTAGCATGAGTCCCAACTCTCATTCGCAGGGTAAACTGTGCACCGGTGTGGTAGTTGCAGACAACCCGGCTTCAATAAGGGAGGTAACCCGTACACTTATACCATCTCTATGCTTTATCAATGCATCCGGCGCAACAAGCTGCTTTCAGCACGGACACCTCTCTCTCTCTCTCTCTCTCTCTCTCTCTCTCTCTCTCTCTCTCTCTCTCTCTCTCTCTCTCTCTCTCTCTCTCTCTCTCTCTCTCTCTGTGCATGTATCAATCGAGGCCAGCATGCACCAGG